GTCCGATGGAATGAAGCTTCACTCTATCCTGAACGAAAACTTTTGGAAATTGGAAAACGTTGATTCTTCCTCGATTCTTCAGCCTCTATTATTTCCCATTGTCGCTCAACTGTTTCTTTTCAACTCTCTTCTTATCGATTTTCAAGAGTGAGGATTAAAAACTTTTAATTGAGCCTCGATCCTAATTCAAAGCTTTCAATTTAACGTTTATTTTTCATAATTCTTTCTCCCTTAAACAAAGAATAAAATAAATTCTTAAATAAAGGATATCAAGTATGAAGTTATAAAATGAAAAATGTGCAGTTATGAGAAATCTATTAAAAAACATATTTTTCCATTTGTTAATTCCATTTATAGAATTCTCTCCTGAGAAACTATTTAATATGGGTAAAGAATATTATCTCTTCTTTACTTTAGAATGATAAAAAGTAAAACTTCTTAAGAATGTACTTCCTTTCAACGATTCAATATCCTAAAGAATCTTATATACAACTATATATATATACGATTATTTCTACGAGTATCCGTTAAAGTCTGAACGACTAAACTGAACGACTTTGAATATATTGTACAAATGTGATGCCTGAACCGATGCTACTACCATCTACTGTCGTATGATTGTAACAACCGTTTATATTATGAAGTTTGAGTGAACGATTTACTTCAACTATATTATTGCGATTGTAATGATTCTAACTATACTCTGACGAGAATTGTATCGTTGCTGAATTCTATCCGATCTTTATTTCTATTTTATTCTACTAATTGATCTGATCTAAAAAACTATCGCTGATCTTGGTTTTTTTCTCCAATCATTTTCAGTGAAAATGAAAATTAAGAAAAGGTTAGAGGAACTAATAGTCGCTTTATATATTTATATATTTCTGAACAAAATTTATTTTTAAAGGTATAAAAAATAATTCTAAATTTATTAAGAAGTATTTCAATTTTTATAAGAAATATAACATCTCGAAACATTTGTTTTAATTTAAAATCGTTGTAAATTATTGATAAGTTTTGTTTTTTTTTTGTAAATTAAATTTAAAGTTAAATAATTACTTCATATTAGAAATTCACGCGATGTAATGATCTGTAGATGATTTTTTTATACGTTCCATGTTGTTCTATGTAACGAGAATCGAATGTATGAAAATTAGAAACTTTCTATTTTTTTTTTTACTTTTTTTACTTTTTCGCCATATTTGATTTGCAAAACTTTGCAAAACTATATTAATAACTAATAAATATTCGTTGGATTCTCACTGTTTAGATCCATATAAAAAAAATAATTTTGTCCAGTTAGCTCCTATTATTCGAATTTCTATTATTCTGGATCGCGTGGAGATCAAAATCTTTGTGCTCGCTTCCACAGTGGTCCGTCGCAAGTGTGACTCGTGAAATGGCCATTGCTGCTATATCTCTGTTTAAATCGAGGATCTGAAAAGTGTTAGAAAATTGTGCTCGCTCGTAAATTATTGTTGGATTATTGAAAATACTCGAGTTTTTGAAAATAAAATCCAGACTGTTCGATCGTTTCACAAGTCTTGGCTATCAACAATATCTGAAAAAATGTTTCAGATAAAAGTTATACGTGACATATGTATAATGATAATTCGATTTCTTTGAGTTCTTGTTCGCGTTCCAATCTTTATATAAAACACCATATTTTTTATATCCAACTTATATTTTCAAAAACATTACTTTGGCGCATGCACTATCGAAAAATAAAAATTTCAAAAAATTACCCATCACTTTTCTCCTTTATTCGATACAATGAAAAAAATAATAAAATTATCTCGTATGGAGGAAAAAGAGAAAATAAAGAATGGATAAGCTAATAAAAGGTTTAAACAAATTTGCCAGAGAAAGAAAAAAGAATTGAATCCAACGGTTTTCTTTTTAAATCGATCCAATCCCAAATTTATTCTAATTACCGACAGCGATCCCCAGTCTATCGATAGCTTTATCCACTTGCTTTCCACGGGGTGAAATTTCATTCCTTCGGAATGTCTAATGATCGCCTTTATAAACTCATCTGCCGGTTAGCTATTACATACTATGACGAAAATTTGTGTCTCGCTAATGCGAGCGCATCGCCTCGAGGATTGATCGCGCAGTCTCGTCGCAGATCCAAATGTGCTTACAGAGGTGAATTAAGGTCGATAAAGGAGAGACTTTTGGCCAGGCAAATAGGACAAGTAATATCTCTCTTCCGATAAGAGGAAATTAGAGAACGTAAAAATGGGGGGAAAAAGTTAAATGGTTTAAAGAGGATTATCTTTAGAAATCTACCGATTTTTAAACGCAGCAATGCATGCACAGAATGCTGATGATTTTTTTTTTCTTTTGAAAACTGAAAAATTTCTCTTTTACAGCTCGACTCGACTCGTTTCGATTATTTTGTGTATTTATAATTACGGGATATTCATATAACATTTTTGGAAACACATTGTTAAGTTAGCAATTCTAAATATACTTTATTCATTTTAATCCTGCCATATTTTGTTATAATTTGGATTTAAATCGTATAAAGTGTGTCAATTTTGAGATATCGTAATAGGAAATCTTCATCAAATGAATAATCATTTTTTTCCATGAATATATCAATACATCTTGTATATGTATAAATACAAAATTTTTGATTAGCTAAAATATATCCGATATTTTACTTTCCAAGTTATTCAAGTATACACAGTCATTCAAACTATAGATAGATTTCTTTGTTCGACTTCTTAGCCTTCCCTCCCTTTCCTAGATGTTAAAAGCGGTTGAAGTTTGCCATTCGAGGGGAAAAGGACGAGCAAACGTACGCTCTCTCTCTCTGTCGATCATCCGCGTAACGAGCGATAATTTAGGAAACGCGTCAAACAACGATCAAGAGTGGGCTCGACGCCGCCGTTATTTCAATTCGAGTTTCAATGAAAATTCCCCATCGATCGTGTTTGGGAACGTATTAACAACGGGAGATGGGAGATATAATTGCGATGTGTTCAGCGGAGGATACGTTTCACGGCTTAAATCGAATACGCTTTCGATCGATGATGGAATTTCGAGTGCACGTGTGTTATTATGAAAACGTTTTATAAAATATCGATAGATGGTTAATGTCGCGTTAAAATTTCGAAGAATTGATCGAATAAGTTAAAAATTACAAAGTTTAAAAAGATTTTCATTATTTCCATTAATTCGAAATATTTGACTGAATTTAATAATTGATATTTCATTGAAAAATAAAATCGATCGAAATATTATTAATCGAGAATACGGATGTATATTCTTGTCGACGAGTATACAACACGGTTGTAATCGTTGAACGATTGTTGGTCGGAAATTTAAAAAAAGATTTCACCATCTGAAGAGGAAATATCTCGCTCTTCTACGATGTGAATCGTCGTTTTTAATTTCCACGGAATGTGATGAGAGAGAGAGAGAGAGAATGCATTGACAGTTGTGTCGGTAAGTTATCATTTCGTCGCCTCGATGACTTTTAGTCGAAAAATGTGTCGATCGTGTACAAAACTTTATAGATTCGAAGCAGATATATTTGAATCGATTGAACTTTAAATAACTCAAAGGCCAGCTCGCGAGAAATTAAAAATTTCGCCATTTAATTTTTATACATCCTTCGAATATTTAATAATCGTCCACGGCCACGATTAAAATAACCGCTTGAGTTACTTGTTATCGATCGTAAAATAAAATTTTTCTTGGCCATTACGTACGCCACGCACAAAGGTTAAATTTATCAGCTGCTTGTATATTCTATTTTAATAATTACATCGACGGTTCGAGGCGTATCGTTGAAGTATTATTAAAAAAAAAAAAAAAAATATTATGTATTAAATCACTCCACGAATCAAAAATAAATTATACACTGAATCGAATTATTCGAAATTATCACTTGCTTGAAATATTTCAATCAAAAATAAATCATATGAGTTAGAATATTACTAGAATTACCATTTGATTCGATAATAGAATAAAATTACGATATCTTTTCACTTTTAATTTAATAAAAAAAATATCATTCTCGAATAAATCAATTTAATTTTTAGACTAAACACTTTTTCTTCGTATATATGAATATGATATCCAATATGACATCTATTCCGAGGATTACGGATAAAATAATTTGACGCTATTTATAAGTCCTTGTCTTTTTGGTTAAGAAAGTCAAGTTAACTGCTGTTTCTTCCAAGAATACTCCCTTTACACCACTCTCGAGGCTACCAACCGACCCAATCGGCGTTTCGTTTCGTCGTATAGCGAGTTTTATTACCCAAACATAGTTACTCCCACCTTTCAACCAGTTTCCATCTGATAGACAAAGTATTGTTCATTGGTGGAAAGAAGTCTCGTGGAAGGAACGCGAGTCTGATTGGTTAATGTGAAAAGAACCGTTTATTTTTCATACGTATTTTTGTTTCTATGTGGTTTTGTTACAAATACCAATCCAAAATAACGATCCAAACCTTGTGTAACGTAGAATCCAGAATATTCTAACGTACGGATATATTATAAAAATTTCTTTTCATATACGTAGATTATTTACAATTTGTAACGATAATTTAATTTATAAATGTAATTTCGTATTCGAGTATACGAATAAAGTAGACATACTATAGATAGTTTCCAATCTTGAATGATTATCCTAATATAACTTCATAAATGAAAATAATTTTTACTTATTTTGAATATTTATAAATATCAAATTATAGCTCTTCTACTATTATATAGTGCGGTATCAGGATATAATATATAATCAAGAAAGCATTTGAAGAACTCGTGCCTCTGTGCAATCTTGCGAGATTTCTTTTTAGCGGTGAATGATATAATATTTCACGAAGAAAATTCCATTTTTGCACGATAAAATAGTAAAGCAATGAAATTAAATCGAAGGGGAAATAGATTTTTGATAAATGCGTTACTCGTATTCTGTATTCTCGTAAATTCGAAGGATCCTTTTGCTTCGAATCTCCGACGGAGGTTTCTCAACTTACTTTCCATACCGTTATGCGCCATTTCGTAGACGCGCGTCTGCATTTCCCTGTGGACGTGAAAAGCGAAACGTAGCCGTGTAAACATCTGTGGAATCGAGCTCGAAAGCGTTGCCGACTTCATCTTTCACCTGTAACGGTGAACAGAAAGAGAGAAAGAGAAGGATGTATAGGAAAGAAACAAAAAAACGGATCATTTTTTTTTTTTGAATATCGTTCACACGTAGCATAGAAAATAATTTCCTGTTCGTTAAACGTATTTCAGAATTTCACGTTTCGTCTAAAAATTTTTATTTATTTATTTATTTTTTTTTTTTTTTACATCAAAACGCGTAGATAGGATACTCCTATGGTGGAAAAAACGCAGCAACAGTGTCCTCGTGTTACGAATTGCACGAAACAGCGAACGGTAGAGCAAGTGCCACTACGCTCCATTAAATTCAAGCCGATCCCTTGGCTACGTCCGCGTTGAAACGTTTTTTTTTTTTTTTTTTTCGTTATTTGTAATTTTCCACCGTACCTCGTCGTCGCTCTTTTCCAACCGTGTCCTTACGGATAAACAGTTGTGTAAAAATAAAAATCTACACATCACTTTTCCTAGTTTACCAGTTTCTTTCTCGTATGAATTAATCAATCGCAAACTATCATTTAATTTTAATCAACACGCGTAATTCGATCAGGGGAGATCACGAGAATTAAGAAAAAAAAATCAATCGAATATTTTTAGATTACGAATGCGATGGACGAATAAAAGTATCGATACAGCAATAAGAATCGATCTTCTCGAACGGTTTCCTCGATTTTACATTTTTCATTTCTGAATCCCTTATTCATCATATTTTCGTTTGCCTCGTTTTTGCCCCACGAATCTCTCTCCATTCTTTCTTCTTCGTTGTCCACGATGGTCGGTCCAATTGAATATCTTTTTTGGCCATCTATCCTCCACCATTCGTTATAGATGTCCATACCATCCGAGCCAGCTCTAATCGTTTCTATAATATCTTTATCTATTCGCGGATTTTTTAACTTTCTCTTTGATTAAAAAGTACGCTGTCTCGTATAATTAATTCGTAGCTATACAATTCATTTCAACTTCTTCCTCGCTTCTTATTTATTAGCTTCGTTTTTCTTCCACTTTATATAAAATATAAGCTCGTATTTATCACACGCACGAGTCTTTGCTTTATCTTCCAAATGCGAATAAAATGGAAAATCACGAAAAATGATTTAACAATCGAAAGGAAAGAAGAAGAAGAAGAAAAATTGCGAGTAAAGGTTTCAAAATTCAAAATAAAATTATGCGTTATTCTTTAATTTTACTCAAAGTAAAATCCAATTTTTCAAATTGAATAATTAGTTCGCGGGATCTTATCTGCAAAGATGGCCGCTGTCTATAAAATTGCGGCCGTAAAATCTGTGGAAATGTGAACACAGCGGGAAGAAAGTTTGAATCTTATGGAAGCTTTTACGAGAAATTAGCCACTTTTAAATCGCATTTTCATCGAGCACCCTTTCGATTCTTTTTTTTTTTCGCGATGAACAATTTCATCGTTGCGAATTTCGTGAGAATCGCGTTTAAACGAGAAAATTGAACGTGACAAAGGGTCAGTACGTGTACGACAAGCTTTCAAGAATTACTCGTTATAACGAGCGAGCTCGTACGCGAATCAAGCTTAAATATCGAAAATCGCGAAAATGGATGTTAAGATCGAATTCATAAGGTTCCAAGCTTCGATCCAAGCAAAAATTCAAAATATTTCGATAATATCAAAGAAAAAAAATATTATAATATTGAAGAATCGATTTTAAGGTCAAAGTAAACAGAAAGGTATATAAAAGTGTCGATTAAGATTTATTTATTCGATAGTAGAATGTAATTGTATCTCTGTTTTCGTTTCGTTTCATTTTTCCAAAGGTAAACTCCACGAATATATATTTACATTCTGTATAATTTGTCTTATCTTGCTTAAATAGAAAGAAGACTGCGAGATATTTAAACGTTACCAAAGAGATTTTCAATTCAAAAAAAAAATAAGCTTAACTACTAATTCTGTCTTCGTTTCGTCTAACATTCTCTACGAATATATATATATTTACATAGTCTGTATTTGTAATTTTTCTTATCTTGTTTAAATAGAGAAGACTGCGAGATATTTAAATATTAATAGAAAAAAAATCTACATTTCTTCTAAAATTTTCCAAAGATAAACTCCACGAATGTAATAACAGAATAATTTTAAACTAACTTTTATACAGAAAAAAAAGAGGACTAAGAGATATTTAAATATTACAAAAAAAAAAAAATTACACTCATCTCTATTTCTTTTATTTTTCAAATATAAACTTTATGGAATATAACAATTAATTTATTATACCAAGAATAATTTTTCTCGCTTTTATACAGATAGAAAGAGGATATTTAAATATCGGAAAAGATAAGTAAATCCACGATCATTATTCGATGATATTAATTCACGAGCTCATTACATGTATCTTGATCTACGATAAACGCTTTTGTCCCCATTGTCTTGAACCCATGTCCAAAATTCGCATTCAAATTCGCTGACCAATATTTTGCGTAAGCATTTCGCGATAAACTAGTCGCAACAAAAGCGGCCGATAAACGATATCGACAAGGGGGTAGTGTACGCGCAACACTGTGCGTACGTATATACGCCGTTGCTTCGAATAAAACGAGATAATGCCTCCGATAGGAAGCATCGACCAGGGACCCATAATGCACGTTGCTTTACCCGCAGAGACAACGGTGATTCCAAGGGAAATATCCTCGAAACGCCAACCTATCCCTTCGTGATTATCGAAACGTGAATGGAGAACGAGATACAACGATACGCGAATTTTTTACATAACCTAACCTAACCTAACTGTTTGTGATCGCTCGTAAGATTTATTTTGAAAAGCTCATTCGGAAAAATTCCTCATATAGAAACCCTTTTCTGTTATTATCACTCGCAGATCTCTATTAAACAAAGGACGATGTTATTTGGAGAAGAACTATAATTTTTTAGAGTTTTGTCGACACTTACAATCGTATATTTTTGATACACTTCAGTATGGCTGGAGCGAAACTCGATTCCAAGAGTGACATATTAGAGACACGGCTGACTCAATGGCAACTAATATCATTCTAATTCGAGAATTTTTTCTTTAATTTAAAAGTGTCGCGAATTAGATATTGATATTATTAGTTATTATCGCGTTCCACTTGAAGAGAATCTGAAAATGCTTCCTCGATTCAATTAAACTATAAAGGGATTTTCTGAGGGCACGAACTTCACTTGAAATAGTCCCATGGTAAACAAATCGTACTTTGACCGTCGGATAAAACAAATAAATAGTTCTGAATCACATCGTGTTCTGACCGTCGGATACGATTACTTATTGTAGCTTGAAAGAGAATCTAATTATCGTTTATTGTGAACACGTACGTCGTATACGATAGTTTCTTTGTAATTGAAGTTTCTTTGTAATGATCATCTACTGTGACATCGTGAGAGATTCAGCTCTCTTAAAGACACACGTATCGCACTCGTAATCGCACTAAAACTCTTCGTGAAGAAAATATATCAATAATCACAAGACCAGTTTCTTCACATATACAGCTCAAAAAGAGCATTTGACATGTATCCATACACTTAACGATCCACTACAATACTATTATTACTGTCGGCATACTAACTTAAACTAAACTTAACCTAATTTAATCTTAATAATCTTTTTGTATTTCTTTGTATTTTTAATCGAGTATCTATTCCTTTGTCGATACAATAGTTTCCGGTGTGAAATTCGAAACGGCGAGGAATCGTGTTTTTTGGCAAAACGAACGCGTGACGCGATCACGAAAATCAACGAAGTTACACGAAAAGTCGACTCGTCTCGTAAATCTCGATCGAGTTTCGAGAGCGCCATCTGCGACAACCTGGAAAAAAACTGATTTATTATTTCGTCGAAAATCGATGCGACTGTTCGATTTATCCTCGTATAATGCATAAATTTCCACAACACAGCGAGAAACAGAAATAGCCGTGAAAAGAAAAAAAATGAAGAGGAAAGAGAGGGTGGAGAATTAAAAGTTGGAGATAAAAATAAAAACATTCGTCTTCTTTCTTTCTTTCCTTCCTTTCCGTTGCAAAATGTATGTTTCACAGAACTGGTGCGAAAAAATTGTGAAAATTTTTTTTTCATATATAAATATCAAACGCGAGACGCTCGTTTCTATAGAATGAATCGAGGGTAATAACGCACGAATCAAACGAGTAGACGAGAAAAAAGATTGGAAGCTATCACGTTACGTATTATTTAGCTTGATTCGGCTTTGAAAGTTACAAGCACCTACGGCATAGAAGAATGTCACGAGTAGTGCCTTAATAGTATACTCCTTCAATCGACTATACGTTTCAAAAGCATGTAGTAGGACTTTCAACTTTCGAACAGTGTAAAACGTGTGTCTCAAATTTCTCCATATCCCCTCTCATCTCTTACATATGCATTGAATTATAACTTTAAAACAGCTCGATCTCCCGTTACTGTTATCCATCTCCTTTTATTCATTCCACCTTCGCGTATGAATGAATAATTTTATTCATTATCCACCGGTCCAATTATGTATATTCGCCGGATGAAACACGATTTTTTTCAAAATCACCCAGTGTTGGAAAACTGGGAGGGAACCAAGTTTAATAGAAAAATTGATACGCTTTCAAAGTTGGAAACACAGTTTAAAGCCGTATCTGTTAAAAGTTCATAATTGAATCCTCCAGGACACGTACGTAACTTATATTCTCTTACCAACGTTATTTTATTCCATCGTACAATTTTTCTTCGAATGAATACGTTAGAGGAGGAAGGGATTTTCGTATTGACTACAACCTGAAACTTATTATTTATAATCTTTTTATTAAAAAATCAATCATCGATTCTTCCCATTTCCCCGATACGTCAGGCTTAAAACTTAATCGCAGTTTTTACGACTGACCTGGCTTCGTTCAATCCGGGAGATATCTCTTTCGGCCGGATATCTCGTTCCTTATAAATTTGCCTGAATTTTTATCGCCTGTATCCATTGATCGACTATCGATAAGCGATCCAGAAACTATAAT